TGTTGGTGCTAATATTTTGGATCAGGTTAGGGCTCTTTGGTACCAACAGCCGAAACCTACTCTAGCCAATAAAAGCAAAAAGGAAGGAAATGGAAAGATAGTGAGTGAGTCACAGAATTGAAGGAACAGGGCCACCTGTCTTAGATGGGCACAGGTATCAGGCGACTCTGAAGCTCCTGGTAGCAGAAAGTCATGGATTATCTGTTGAGGATGTGGCCAAGGCTTGACTTAACAACACCATTTTCCCTCATTTTAATCTACCACCATTCAGATTCCCTAAGTGGAGGCTGATAGCCTAGCTTGGGTCCCACACTCAGTTCTGTCTCTAGGGTCTATGTGCCCTGTGATGGCTGTCCCACCAGAACCTCAGAAAGCAGGAGAGGCTTCTCCCAAAGGCAGGGGAAGTTCTGCTGATCAGGCCAAACAAAAGGTGTCCACTAGTCCCGAGGAGCCTGGCCCCAGGTCAGTGCCCTTTCTGAAAGCGGGAGCATACAGCCCCTACTCTGGAGAAGCTCCCAGCCCGATGGTGGAGATACACGTCATACCTTGTTGAACTTTCAATCTGATGGCAAGGACTGGTCACAAAACTGAAGAAATTTAAGAGGAAACACAGGTTAACAGCACAATATGCTTAAGGCAGGGTTCTTTTTAATAGTAAAAAATGGGAAACTGTCAAAATACCCCCAAGGAGGAGAATAATTAAACAATTATATAAAGATTAAAGATCACGTTTTTGAAAAACTAGTAATGTGAGAAAACATTGATGGTGAAATGCTAAATGAAAATAATTGGATACTAAATGTAAACTGGAGAAGGAAATGGCAACCCACTCCAGTACTCTTGTCTGGAAAATCCCATGAACAGAGGAACCTCACAGGCTATATAGTTCATGGGGTCACAAAAAGTTGAACACAACTGAGCACAAATGCATATACATTATTATCCAACTGTATAAAGCAGTATGTCCAGAAGGAGGGGAATACACCAAAATGTTAACAGAGATAGTAATAATAATAAACATTTTTGAGTATTTTTATATGTGAAGCCCTGGGTTAAACATTTTCCATATGTTATTTTACCTAACCTATACATGATAGATACTACTATCATACTCATCTTATAGATGATAAACTGAGGCTCAGGAAGCTAAACCCTCAGTTAACAAGTTAAGTTCTGTTCAGTCACTCAGCTGTGTCCGACTCTTTGCGACCCCATGGACTGCAGCATGCCAGGCTTCCTTGTCCATCAACAACTCCCTGAGCTTGCTCAAATTCACATCCATCGAGTCAGTGATGCCATCCAACCATCTCATCCTCTGTCGTCCCCTTCTCCTCCTGCCTTCAATCTTTCCCAGCATCGGGGTTTTTCCAATGAGTTAATCTTTCACATCAGGTGGCCAAAGGATTGGAGTTTCAGCTTTAGCATCACTCCTTCCAATAAATATTCAGGCCTGATATCCTTTAGGATTGACTGGTTTGATCTTACAGTCCAAGGAACTGTCAAGAATCTTCTCCAACATCACAGTTCAAAAGCATCAATTCTTCGGCACTCAGCTTTCTTCACAGTCCAACTCTCACACCCATACATGACTATTGGAAAAACCATAGCTTTGACTAGACAGGCCTTTGTCGGCAAAGTAATGTCTCTGCTTTTTAATATGCTGTCTAGTTTGGTCATCGCTTTTCTTTCAAGGAGCAAGTATCTTTTAATTTCATGGCTGCAGTCACCATCTGCAGTGATCTGGGAGCCCAGAAAAATAAAGTCTGTAACTGTTTCCATTGTTTCCCCATCTATTTGCATGAAGTGATGGGTCTGGATACCATGATCTTCATTTTTTGAATGTGGAGTTTTAAGCTAGATATTTTGCTCTCCTCTTTCACTTGCATCAAGAGCCTCTTTAGTTCTTCGATTTCTGCCATAAAGGTGGTGTCATCTGTGTATCTGAGGTTATTGATATTTCTCCCGGAAATCTTGATTCCAGCTTGTGCTTCATCCAGCCCAGCATTTCTCATGATGTACTCTGCATATAAGTTAAATAAGCAGGGTGACAATATACAGCCTTGATGTACTCCTTTTCCTATTTGGAACCAGTCTGTTGTTCCATGTCCAGTTCTAACTGTTGCTTCTTGACCTGCATATAGGTTTCTCAGGAGGCAGGTAAGGTGGTCTGGTATTCCCATCTCTTTCAGAATTTCCCACAGTTTATTGTGATCCACACAGTCAAAGGTTTTGGTGTAGTCAATAAAACAGAAATAGATGTTTTTCTGGAACTTTCTTGCTTTTTCAATGATCCAGTGGATGTTGGCAATTTGATCTCTGGTTCCTCTGGCTTTTCTAAATCCAGCTTGAACATCTTGGAAGTTCATGGTTCACATACTGTTGAAGCCTGGTTTGGACAAGTTTGAGCATTACTTTACTGGCATGTGAGATGAGTACAATTGTGCGGTAGTTTGAACATTCTTTGGCATTGCCTTTCTTTAGGATTAGAATGAAAATTGACCTTTTCCAGTCTTGTGGTCACTGCTGAGTTTTCCATATTTGCTGGCATATTGAGTGCAGCACTTTCACAGCATCATCTTTTAGGATTTGAAATAGCTCAGCTGGAATTCCATCACCTCCACTAGTTTTGTTCGTAGTGATGCTTCCTAAGGCCCACTTGACTTTGCATTCCTGGATGTCTGGCTCTAGATGAGTGATCACACTGTCATGGTTATCTGGGTCATGAAGATCTTTTTTGTATAGTTCTTCTGTGTATTCTTGTCATTGTTTCTGTTAGGTCCATACCATTTCTGTCCTTTATTGTGCCCATGTTAGCATGAAATGCTCCCTTGGTATCTCTGATTTTCTTGAAGAAATCTCTAGCTCTTTCCCAATCTATTGTTTTCCCCTATTTTTTTGTATTGATCACTGAGGAAGGCTTTCTTATCTCTCCTTGCTATTCATTGGAACTTTGCATTCAAATAGGTATGTCTTTCCTTTTCTCCTTTGCCTTTAGCTTCTCTTCTTTTCTCAGCTATTTGTAAGGCCTCCTTAGACAACCATTTTGCCTTTTTGCATTTCCTTTTCATGGGTATGGTCTTGATCACTGCCTCCTGTACAATGTCACAAACCTCTGTCCATAGTTCTTCAGGCACTCTGTCAGATCTAATCCCTTGAATCTATTTGTCACTTCCACTGTATAATTGTAGGGGATTTGATTTAGATCACACCTGAATGGCCTAGTGGTTTTCCCTACTTTCTTCAATTTAAGTCTGAATTTGGCAATAAGGAGTTGATGATCTGAGCCACAGTCAGCTCCTGGTTTTGTTTTTGCTGACTGTATAGAGCTTTTCCATCTTTGGCTGGAAAGAATATAATCAACCTAATTTCGGTATTGACCATCTGACTTGAGTCAGCTAACAAGTGGTTGACTCAAATTCAGGTCTATCTAAAGCTGAAGTGAATGTTTGTAAAATGATCTTGTTTGTCCTTAGCTCCCGTTTTTGGGTTATGAGTTCTTTTATGTAACTTTCTTGAATTTTCTTATGTATGTATATTAATCACGAATTTGCCTATACATTTAGGAAAAATACATGTATTTTGAAAAAGGGCGGGGGGAAGGAATATGCAAGGGTGTGGAGGAGGAGGGATGGACTGGGAATTTGGAGTTACTAGAGGCAAACTCTTTATATAGAATGGAAAAACAAGAAGGTCCTACTGTACAGAACAGGAAACTATATTCAATATCCTGGGATAGGGACTTCCCTGGTGGTCCAGTGGCTGACTCCATTCTCTGAATGCTGGGAGCCTGAGTTGGATCCCTGCTCCCACATGCTGAAACAAAGAGTTTGAATGCTGCAACTAAAGATTCTGTGTGCCACACCAAAAAGATCCCACGTGTCTCAACTAAGACTCCGTGCAGCCAAATAAGTAAATTAAAATATATGTATATATGTATACAGACATGTGTATATATATATATCTCCTGGGATAAACCATAATGGAAAAGACGATAAAAAAGAATGTACATATGTACCTTGAGTGACAGCAGAAATTAACACAACATTGTAAATCAACTATACTTATAAAAGTAAATAAAAAAAGAAATATGCCACAAAAACATACACAAGAGGTGAAAGACATTGTATTGAAGAAAAAGCATACGTTAAAGTCTGAGAAGCCTCATAAGGACTGTTCTTTTTGTAGTCAGTTCTATTATCATACTATCAGTCTGCATTTCAAACATATATTTACATTTATGTCAGTACCTCACTGTCCTTGAGAGCAGGAGCCCCGTCCTTTTTAGTATATTGTTCCTGCCTCCAACACAGGGCTCAGCACGCAGAAGGCTCTTAGTAATTGTCCCCTGGATGATACAGGGAGGAGAAACCAGTGACCCGGAAGACTTTGCTGGCCTCCGAGGATTGGAGGTTCCAGGAGGACATATAGGGAACCAGGGAAGGATGGGGTGGACGGGGACTGCGCTCCAGAAGTGGTTTGGCGACAGGACACCGAGCGAGAGGAAGGTGACAACCACAGCCCCGCCCTTTCGGTCCTTGCCAGCCCCGCTGCGGAGGGTGAAGAAAGGCCCTGATTCCCGGGCGCCGGTATGTGGAGTGGGTGGGGCGGCAGCTCTGCGCTGTCCTCTGCCGCGGGGCCCGAGGCGCTGGCCACGGTGCTGAAACCTGCGCTCTCGGTGGAGGGAGCGGGGCGGAGCCGGGACGAGCGAAGGGGGCGGAGCTCCCTGGGGCTCTCCGAGGGAAGGGGGCGGGGCAGGGCGGCGCCCGCAGGCCCTGGACCCTGGTGGGTTTGAGGAGGCTCGAGACCCGAGGCAGGCCGGCTCAAGCAGAGCGGACACAGCCCCCTGGACAAGCTTCCCCTGGAGAAGCCAAGGTCATCCTCCCTGACCTCAGCCTCCTCCCCACACCCGGCTGAGGGGGAGACCCACTTCTGGGCCTCCTTCCGTTTGCAAAGCCACTTCCAGCCCACAAGTCCCCACCCCAGGACCCAGCGCCCTCACGATGGTGAAGCTGCTGCCTGCCCAAGAGGCAGCCAAGATCTACCACACCAACTACGTGCGTAACTCGAGGGCTGTGGGCGTGATGTGGGGCACACTCACCATCTGCTTCTCCGTGCTGGTCATGGCGCTCTTCATCCAACCCTACTGGATCGGGGACAGCGTCAACACGCCCCAGGCGGGCTACTTCGGCCTCTTCTCCTACTGCGTGGGCAACGTGCTGTCTTCTGAGCTTATCTGCAAGGGTGGCCCGCTGGACTTCTCCTCTATCCCTTCTAGAGCCTTCAAGACGGCCATGTTCTTTGTGGCCTTGGCCATGTTCCTCATCATTGGCTCCATCATCTGCTTCAGCCTGTTCTTCGTCTGCAACACGGCCACTGTCTACAAGATCTGTGCGTGGATGCAGCTGGCTGCGGGTGAGCAGGGATAGTGGGAGGGCAGGGAGCCCCTCGCCCCACCCCAAGACCACAGGAGCAGGTGCACCATCCCACCTTCCCTGGAGTTGCTGAGTCTCTAGCTCAGCTGTTGTCCTGTATAGCCCAGCCACACTCTGTGCTCTTCAGATGCTTCTGAAGAGTAACAAGTCTCAGGATGGCTGAGGCCAAAAAGACCTTAAAGATCAAATGGTTCAACTCTCTCATCTTACAGATCAGGAACTGAGGTCCAGAGAGGGGAAGTGACTTGCCCAGGAGCAAATCACTCATGGTAGCGTGAAGGTCTTTGTTCCCTAATTCCAGGATTCCATCTTTGATACAGCAAGTGTGAGCACTTGAGGCAGTGAATGGAGGTGATATTTTGTGGTGGGGGAGGGAATTAGGGTCTTTTAGAACTATGTGGAATGGGTGGCTACTTGTGGTGCTCAGAGGCAAGGCCTTCTCTGACCCTCTCTTCCTGCTTCTGGATATAGACAGGCATCTGGGTTCTGGGGTCAGCTGGTCCTGCTATCCTCTAGAGCCCAGGAAGGGATGCCTACCTAAGACCTTGTCCTGCAGCCCATGGTCCCTCCCCACTCCAAGCACCACATACAGACTGTCCATACTAGGGGGATGTCCAGGAGCCTTGTTGGGGACTGTGGACTAGAGTGAAATCATCTTGACATCACTGGTTAGACTGAGAAGCAGTGTTATCCTTAGCAGGGGGAATGGAACAGGGAACTGAATCCCAGACAACCAAACACATAAACTTAGGACAGTCAGAGTTGGAGGGGGCTCTGAAGAGCTAGAGCGTCTTCCCCCCAACTATAAATGAGGGATCTGGGGCTGAGAGAAGACAAGACTTAGCCAAGACTGTAATAGATCACCTGGCAACCAAGGAAATAGGAGAATTTTAGCAGTGAGTCCCAAGAACTAGATGAGGAGCCTCATCATGACCCAGGGAGGTGGGTTTTCCTTCCATTTGATAGATGAGGCTCCTAGTGGGTAACTTGTATTTTAGCACACAGGTCGTGAGAGACAGAACCTTCAAACTCTGAATCTTGTACTCAGGCTACTGACCTGGTTCCACAGCTGCTTTCCCAATCCCCCTGCCATCTCCCTTTCTCTGTAGTCTCTCTAAATGGTGAGGGAGAGGCTGGGGCAGAGATGAGGCAAGTCTTGGTGGGCAGTGGGGAGAGAGAAGGGAGAATGAAGGTTTAGCAGTTTCGTGACAAAGAGGAGCAGAATGAACCCTGGCATGCTTGCCAGCTGGTCCTCCAGAGCAGTGGGATGCTGGAAACACCACCCTCCCTCCCTCATTCTCTGCACTGTCCCACTCCCCCAACCTCCTGCAACAGGTGCCATTTGCTGAACAGGCAGTGCTGGGAGGGTCTGGGTGGGGGAGGGATCACCAGGCCATTTGAGTCAGATCCTTGTCTGGGTCATGGAACTGAAGACATTGATAGCAGAGGTGGCCAGGTGCCATCCCATGAAACATTTATGTTGGGGGAGAACAAAGGTGGTGTCATGTCTCATTCTTTGGTGCTGGGGAAAGGCGGGCGGGGGGGGCAAAGGGAGGGATGAGGAGGAGGTGTGTCCCACAGCCAGCTGCTGAGAGGTTCCTCCATTAGAGGAGCCCTAAACCAGTTAGTTAGCTTAATCTTGCCAAAATTAAGGACCAGGGAAGGGTGCAGAAGGAAAAGTGGGGCAGTGAGGAGCTGCCGCTTAAAGTTAATTGAGCTTCTGGATGCCAGGTGTAGGCCGAGGGTGGTCCCAGCTCCTAAAAACACAAGTGGAGCACGTTATGCATCTCTCTGAGTGCTGGTAACTTCATCTGTCCAAGACGGCATAAGTACCCCATCACATGGTTCTTGCAGGAATGGGATGCTCTAATGCATCTTGCACAAGGCCTGACATGTGGTAGGTGTTCAGTAAATGTGAAAAACCCCAAACAGCTTTTTCAGTCAGGGATGGATGGGGTGATGCCACACCCCATCCCCAATTCCCACATCTTCGTGGGAATGCCATACCCCAATTCCCAAATCTTCGTGGGTTAGGACAAAGGTTTATTTCTTGATCACGGTACATGCTCATTGAGGATCAGTGAAGGGTTTTGCTGTCACTGTTCCCTTCCAGAGCCCAGGCTGATGGAGCATCAGCTGTCATCTGGCTGTCATCATTGCAAAGAGAAAGAGAGCTCTGGAAAGTCTCCAGAAGCAGTTAAATGCTCTGGCCTGGAAAAGTGCACAGCACCTCTGCTCACATTTTATTGGCTGAAGGAATCTTTATGACCTAGCCTAACTTCAGGGGGACTTCCCAGACTGCTCAGTAGTTAAGAAAATCTGCTTACCAACGCAGGAGACACGAGTTTGATCCCTGGGTCAGGAAAATCTTCTGGAGCAGGAAATGGCAGCCTGTACCAGTGTTCTTGCCTGAAAAATTCCATGGATGGAGGAGCCTGGTAGGCTATACTCCATGGGGGTCACAAAGAGTTGGACTGAGCAACTGAGAATGCACGCACACTTGCACACAACTTCAAGGGAGGGAGGCAAGGAAGTATAATCGTGTTACGTGCCTTGAATATTTGTGAACAGCTCTAATGACACCGACACCCATTGAGGGTGCTTCTATCTGACTTTAGTGCCAATAATAATAGCAACAACTAACATTAACTGGCCACTTACCATATACCAGACACTGCAGTAAACACTTAATCACATTTAATCCTCATAACCTTGCTCTGAGTCAGGTATTATCATCCTTATTTTTCCAGCAAGAGACTGGAAGTCAGAAATGTAAGTAAACTTGCTTGAGAATACCACGCTGGCCTCTGTTTAGAGCCCGGAGACACCGCAGTGGGGTGGATCCCCCTACTAGGTGGATGGATGGGGTGCTCATAGAGCACTGTGGTACCCATAGAAACAACCTGTTTCCAAGTCAGAGACCCTGGGCTCTTTTCTGAAACCGCTATAGGGAGGTGCTATAGGAGAAGGGGGCTGTGCCAGGTACCGGAGGACTCACCACACAAGTAGGGGAGGCCACAGGTTTTATCAAAGGGTTCAGGGGGGGTCACCCCTAGGGTAACCACCCTAGGTATCTTCCTGTTTGTCCCTGAGTCTGAAATGTCATCGCTAAATACATTCAGCTCTTTGGGAGAGGTGTTTGGCTGGGAGTCTGGGGAAATTAACTTTGAAGCCAAGAAAGTCAGGAGTTGTGGGTGCAGGTCTTGGCTCTGCCATAGCGAAAGGACTGGGTAACTCCCTTGGTTTCTCTGGGACCTCAGTTTTCTAGTCTGTAAAATGGGATATTAACACATGGCCTATTTCACAGAACTGTTGTAAAGATTGACAGAAAAATGGTATGTAAAGTATTTTGTGATCTGTAAGAGACGTCTGTATTAATAAATCAGCTCCTCCTAGAAAGAAACAAAGGAGGTGTTCATCTAGGTGGGAAGGTGGGATCTGGTATATTGATCTTTATACTTTGTTGTGCTTTTGTTTGATCTGCTGACCTTCCTTGCAAGAACAAGCTGAGACCCACACAGTGAATTTGGGTGCTGTGAGGTGCTTCTCCATGGGACTCCTGAGTTAGGGCACAGCTTTGGGGCTAAAGAGCCTCAGGTCCTGTGAAAGGAGGGCCGGGGTGGGACTGCGGCACAAATAAGGGAGGTGCCCCGTGTCTGCCTGATGGTGGTCCCAGAGGTTGCCCCAGTCACATCCCAGGAATATGTACCTGTCTGGGTGGCTAAGGTGGGGTGGAAGTTTGGTGGGGAAAGTGGAGGGGAGATGGGGAAGAAGAAATACTTGGCTGTCGATACTGAATCAACAAGAGCACAGCGTGGCACACGGGCTGTCACTCGGGAAATGCCAACTGTGCGTCAGACACTCTTCTGAGCACTTCTCCAATATGAGCTGATTTGAGCCTCACTGAATCCAAACAGGCAGGTACTATCATCCTCATTTTACAGATGAAAAGACTGAGGCACAAAAGCTTATGTAGCTTGCTCCAAGTCACGCAGCCGGTTATCGAAGAGCTGGGCTTGAGATCCAGGCAGTCTACCCTAGTGTTCCCCAGCTTTTCCTGTTGAGAGAGTCTCCCGGAAGACTGCTTTTAAAGAAGGGATTCCTGAGCCCAACCCTGACCTAGGAATCAACATTTTAAACACATTCAGAGAGGTGAGGACAACTGCCTTGTGCTGTAGTGGGTAAAGGTGTGGAGATCCTATTTGCTTAAATGGAAGGTTCACGAAGGAAGCAGCCAGAGATGGGGCTGGAAAACTTCTTGTACCCAATCTAAAATACCTGAGTTGTAGGAGACATCATTATTCGATGTGCTGTAAAAAGGAAAAAAAAAAAGCTTCTAATCAAGTTATAGCCTAAAGTTTTGTTATTACACTTATTTCAGAGATGCTGAGGTTTGAACAAAATTACATCTTAGGAGTGATGAGTTCTCTGGGCTGGAATTGGATTTTGGGAGGACTTTGAAGCCGGTGCCTCATCAAGTTCAAAGTGAGGGGCACAGCTGAGGGCCTGGCAGGACTACAGGGTGTCCTGGCAGAGCCTCCCGGGGCTGAGAAGTCCTGCTCTGAGTCTTCACCCCTGACCAGTGGCTCCCAGGGGCAGATGACTTCAGCTCTTGGAGCCTCAGTTTTCTCCTCTTTGATCTACAAGCAGGGTGGCAGGACCCGTCTTTTGTGCCTCTCAAGGCTGTTAACATAGGAAGGGAGGCGGCAAGGTGACCGCAGTGCACAGAGGGAGGGAGCAGACTGTGCTTCCCCAGACTGACGCCATCTGCACCCCCCTGCCCCCTCAGCCACAGGCCTGATGATCGGCTGCCTGGTCTACCCAGATGGCTGGGACTCAAGTGAGGTCCGGCGCATGTGTGGGGAGCAGACAGGCAAATACACGCTGGGGCACTGCACCATCCGCTGGGCCTTCATGCTTGCCATCCTCAGCATTGGAGACGCTCTCATCCTCTCCTTCTTGGCCTTCGTGCTGGGCTACCGTCAGGACAAGCTGCTCCCTGATGACTATAAGGCCGACGGAAAAGGTAATTCTCTCCACCCCAGGGAGCCGAGGCTTCCTCTCTGCCAGTTGCCTGAGGTGTGTCCCCTGACCAAGGGTGGGGACACCAAGACCAATCAAACACAGCTCCTGTCCCAGAGCCCAAGGGTCAGTGGAGGGTTGCAGGCTGGCATGTGATGAGGCAATGGACAGACCTACGTGGCAGAGGCTGTCTGTGATAGAAGGGTGTCCCGCGTCCCCCTGCACTCTCAGGGTCTACAGGGGAGAGAGCCCTGGTCCAGCCCGGGGAGCTAGGTGTGGCCTTCCCGTGGAAGGCAGCACTGAGGCTGGGTCTTGGAATAACAGGGGAGGCTGCTGGTGGAGAGAGGAGCAATAGGGGAGCAGAGGGATGAGTTGCTTTGGAAGGAGGAAAGGCAGGTCAGGGTGCAGATGTCACGGCTCCTGGACTTCAAGTGATGGGAGCCTAGATCCGTTGGATTAGAGTCAACTGGGGATTCTCCATATATCCGTTTTCTCATCTGAGCTTCATTTCCCTTCATTAGGGGGTAGGAGGCAGGTTTTTCCTCATTTGTAAAAAATACCTACTTTACAAGATTGTACTCAGGAACAAGATAAGACTGTCTGCTCTTCTAGTGAAGGTTGTACCAGAGATTATAGCCAGGGAAACTGGGCAAGAAAAAGAAAAGAAATCTGGTTTGGAGAGGAAGTAAAACCATCTCTATTAGCAGATGACATGATTTTGTATATGGAAAATCCTAAATAATCCACTAAAAAACTATTAAAACTAATATACAACTTCAGCAAGGTTGCAGAATATAAGAACAATATACAAAAATATACTGTATTTGTATACACTAACAATGAACAATCTGAAAATGATATTAAAAAAACAATTTCATTTATGATAGCAACAAAAAGAATACAATACTTAGGAATAAATTTAATAAAAAAGTAAAACTTGTATGTGAAAATGAAAAAAACATGTTTAAAGGCCTAAATAAATGGGAATATCCATGTTCATGGATCAGAGGACTTAATGTTGTTGAGATGGCAATACTCCACAAACTGGTCTACAGACTTAATGCAATTTTTATCAAAATCCAGGGCTTGATTTTAGGATCAGCTTGTCATTTAGAAATGCAAGAGACCAGCTTGTCATTTAGAAATGCAAGAGACCCGGAATAGCCAAAATAATCTTAAAGAAAAACAAAGTTGGAAGACACACATGTCCTGATTTCAAAACTTACTAGAAAGGTACAATGATTAAGTCAGTGTGGTACTGGCATAAGGACAGACAATGCAATAAAATAGAGAGTCCAGAAATAAAATCAAGCATCTATGACTGACTTTCGACAAGGGTGCGAAGACCATTTAATGGGGAAAAGAATACTCTTTTCAATAAATGGTGCTGGGATAACCAGATATTTATATGCAAAAGAATAAAGTTGGGTCACCTACCACACATCATATACAGAAATTAACTCAAAATGGATCAAAGACCTAAATATAAGATATAAAATTATAAAACTCCTAGAGAAGACCTTGGATTAGGCAATGTTTTCTTATATTTGACATTTGATACAAGTACCAAAAAGGAAAAAAAAATAAATAAACTGGATTTCATCAAAATTGAAAACTCTGTGTGCAAATGTTCATAGTAGTTTTAAGAGTCATGTATCTACAGATGACTGAATGACAAAATGTGTACATCCATACACTGAGTTATTCTTCAGCCATAAAAAGAAAGGAAGTACTGGTAATTGCTACAATGTGGAGGAAAACATTGTTAAATGAGAGAAGCCAGATAAAAGACTAGATATTGTATGATCTGATTTATATAAAATGTTCAGAATAGGAAAATCCACAGAGACAGAAGAATAGGAAAATCCACAGAGACAGAAAGTAAATTTTAGTAATTCTCTGGGGCTGGGAAGAGAGGGGAATTGGGAATTAGTATCACTAAAAGTCACTGGGTTTTTTTGTGGGGTGATGAAAATTTCTAGAATCAGCGGTGATAGTTGCATAACACCCACCATCTTGTACAGTTTAAATGAGTCAATTTTATATAAATCACATCTCAATAAAAAAAAATAAAAGGGCTTCCCTGGTGGCCCAGTGGTCAAGAATCCACCTGCCAATACAAAGGACACAGGTTCGATCCCTGGTCCAGGAAGATCCCACATGCTGTGGAGCAACTAACTAAGCCCATGGACCACAATTACTGAGCCCACACTCTAAGGCCTGAGAGCCGCAGCTGCTGAAGCCCGTGCACCCACAGCCCATGCTCTGAAACCACCTCTGAGAAGCCTGCATACTACAGGGAAGAGTAGCCCCCGCTTCCCACAACTAGAGAAAGCCCACGTGCAGCTGGGAAGCTCAACATAGCCAAAAATAAAATAAATCTTAAAAAAAAATGTGCTGAAGATTAGATAGTGTATATAAAGCACCAGCAATGCCTGCACATTGTAGGTGGTGGCTGAATGTTAGTTCTCTCCACGTTCTGTCCTTCCAGTACCTCCACTCGTTATATCATCCATCTGCCCAGCCACCCCCGACACCTTCTGGCCCAGAGGTCCAGTGAGGGAGGAAGTCTACATTTGGACCTCAAGTCTATTAAGGGAGAGGATCACGCAATATGGAAGCACAAGCTGATAAACATTATGAACAAAAAGTGCAAGCTTTCCTGATAGTGAATAAAAGAGGGAATGGTAAAAAAAAAAAAAAAGAGGGAATGGTGTGCAGGCAATTAGCCCGAAAACAAGGCTTGATTGTAAACACATCCTGTTTGTTCTCTTTTTCATTGCAGAGGAAGTCTGAAGCGGCTGGAACATTGGTGAGTAATTCCATTGGAGGGTGGTCTGTGTGCCTTTGGAAGTGCTGTAGCCTCGCAAAATGACTCATGAGGCTAGGCTGTAGGACCTAGGGACAGAGGGGCAGGGGATGAGTGTGGAGTGTGGGGTAGGAGGGGGCATGGGCTAGCTGGCAAAGGAGACCGTCACTAAGGGCAAACAGGAATCCTCTAGTTTTACTTGTGTCTTGAGAAGTGGGAAAAACACAGGGAGAGAAGAAATAATTTAAAACAGGCAGGTGGTTTCATAAACTCTTCCTTTTGTGGAGCCTGGCCAACAAGAACAGACTGTTTTTAGAAGTCATTATTGTAATTTGGACCCTTATTTTCAGAAGATTTATAAGAGACATAGTGGAAAACCTAATGAAACATAAGATAAAAGACACAGAGAGGAAAACAAATATTACAGAAATCTGGGCTAATAGAATTAGTGTACTGAGTATTAAATTTAGTTCCCTGCTTCCTGATAGCTGAAGCAAAAAGCAAAACAAGACTTAATCAATTTTAATATCTGGTTGAAAAGGAAACATAACATGTTAATTCCCTTATTGTCTTTTAGGTTTATAAGATGTGAATTAGCAAGAACATGAAGGAACACCTTTTAAAAAGAAAGAAAGGAGAGGGGAAGGAAGGAGTGACAGAGGAAGGAAGGGAAGGAACAGCCCACAGTGGCATCATATTCCTGACAGCTGTCACTTACTGAGGACTTAAAGCTGCTCAGGCACTGTGTGTGGGTAGGAGAGATATCTCCAGTTTAACTATTTTAATTTTTTCTAAGAACCTTCCAATCCCCAACCACATAAACATACTTTTTTTAAAAACAGTAAATTAGTACTGTCCCCCCACAAAAAAAATTTTTTATTAGATGATGTAACCTGCCACGGGGACAGGGGCTCTGGCTGCAGCAGACCTGGGAGGCGTGCTGTGTGGCAGAAGTCCCCTTGGGGGAGGTCGCCGTTAGCCCCCCAATAGAGCCGCTGCAGACAGCCCACAAACTGGAGCACAATTATACCAAAGAAGTTCGTGCACTGTTGCAGAAGTTCTAGGGCCCACAACAGAGTTCCAAACCTGGGGATCAAGCAAAGGGAGAACCCCCAGGGAATCTGACTTTGAAGACCAGTGGGATTTGATTATAGAACTTCCCCAGGACTGAAGAAACAGACTCTTGGAGGACACAACAAAACCTTGTGTGCACCAGGACCCAGGAGAAAGGAGCAGTGATCCCACAAGAGAGTGAGCCAGATGAGAGTCTCCAGCGGAGGCGTGAGTCTACAGTCGCCTGCTGCAGGGTCAGGGGCACTGAATACAACAGTCCTGGGAGCTGTGGTATGCTGACATAAGTCCTTTTGAAGGAGGTCACCATTACTGCCATTATCCCTACCATAGTTTGACCTCAGGCCAAACTACAGGGAGGGAACACAGCCCCATCCATCAGCAGAAAATCGGATTAAAGACTTACTGAGCATGGCATTGCCCATTAGGGCAAGACCCAGTTTTCCCCGCAGCCAGTCCCTCGCATCAGAAAGTTTCCACGAGCCTGTAGTCCTCATCCCTCAAGGGTGGAAAGAGTGAAAACCAGTCACAGGAAACTAACCAAACTGACCACATGGGTCACAGCCTCATCTAACTCAATGAAATCATGAGCCATTACGTGTAGGGCTACCCAAGACAGACGGGTCATGGTGGACAGTTCTGACAAAACATGGTCCACTGAAGAAGGGAATGGCAAACCACTTCAGCCTTCTTGCCTCATGAAAAGATACGACACTGAAAGATGAACTCCCCAGGTTGGTAGTGCCCAATATGCTACTGGAGAAGAGCAGAGAAATAGCTCCAGAAGGAATGAAGAGGCTGAGCCAAAAGGGAAACAGTGCCCCATTGTGGATGTCTCTGATGGTGAAAGTAAAGTCTGATGCTGTAAAGAATAATATTGCATAGGAACCTGGAATGTTAGGTCCCTCAATCAAGGTAAATTGGAAGTGGTTAAACAGGAGATGGCAAGAGTGAACATCGACATTTTAGGAATCAGTGAACTATAATGGACCGAAATGGGTGAATTTAATTCAGATAACCATTATATCTACTCCTGTGCGGAAAAATCCCTTAGAAGAAATGGAGTAGCCCTCATAGTCCACAAGAGTCCGAAATGCAGTACTTGGGTGCAATCTCAAAAATGACAGAATGATCTCTGTTCTTTCCCAAGGCAAACCATTCAATATCACTGTAATACAAGTCTATGCCCCAATCAGTAATGCAAAAGAAGCTGAAGTTGAACGTTTCTATGAGGACCTACAAGACCTTCTAGAACTAACACCAAAAAAAAGATATCCTTTTCATCATAGGGGACTGGAATGCAAAAGTATGAAATCAAGAGACACTTGAAGTAACAAGTTTGGCCTTGGAGTACAAAATGAAGCAGAACAAAGGCTAACAGATTTTGCCAAGAGAACGCCCTGGTCATAGCAAACACCCTCTTCCAACAACACATGAGATGACTATACACATGGACATCACCAGATGGTCAACACTGAAATCAGACTGATT